GCAGAAGGGAAAGCCGCAGACGTGCAGCCTGCCGAAGCGCACGCTTCGGTTTTTTGCCGTGCCCAAATTACACGAGGGAGTTGCAGCAGAGATAACTTTGCAGGAACATCCATTCCCACCTTATCTTCCATCAAGAACGCGTTACGTTGCCTACATCAAAGTAGATGCTCTGCTGCTTCCCTCCTTGTTGCCCTAATCCTCTGCTTCACCTAAAGAAAAAAAAAATCAGAGTATTGCTCCACAATAATGAAATCTGAATGCTAATTATCAGCATATTGCCTTCCTTCCCTTTGGAATGCCCTGCCTTCCAGCCCCAAATAGCTTTCCTCCCTCCTCGCTCCTCTCCATCCGGTTCTCCCACGCTCCTGGGCACGCCGTTGAGCCTGGCTTGGTAGAAGTTGTCCTGCAGGATGCTTCCCTCCCTTCCATTTAAGGGCAGGAATTCCTCGGGGAGCCGGGGCGTGGAAGGGTTCCCTCCCCGCGCCCCATTGTCAGGACTTCTCCCCATGCCTAATTATCGCCTGTCCCTGCAGGAAGCGCCTCTTGCCTGGCCGTCGGGCAGAGCCGCAGCGTCTCCGGCCCGCCTGCTCCGCAGCCCTTTGTGGGAAGGCCCCGTTCCCATTTGGGTGCCAGGCTTGGGTTTGGGAAGGGTGCTCCCCCTCGTCGCGGCAGGAGGGCTGGGGAGCGGGACTGGACCAAGGGAGCCCCTGTTTTTGTCGGTGGGAGCCTGCGCCGGCTCCTTGCACGTGCAGTGGTGCTGAAGGAAGAGGAGAACTCGGGTTTTGGTGTCGAGAAACGTCTTGTGGAGAGAAAGCAGCAGAGTTTAAGCACGAAATAAGTTGGGTGAAAGCGGGGCTCTGCGCGGGGTGGGAGGGTCTGGCGTGGCCCCCGCTGCCTGCGCTGGAGCATGTGGCTAACCTCTCGCCCTCCTCTCTTCCAGGTTCATGACTGGGAAGGGGCTGGTCATCTACCCGGAGATTGGGGATAAACTGGACATTATCTGCCCCAAGGCGGAGCCGTCCAAGCCTTACGAGTACTACAAGCTGTACCTGGTGAAGAAGGACCAGGCAGATGCCTGCAGCACCGTCATGGACCCCAACGTGCTGGTGACGTGCAACCGGCCCGAGCAGGAGATCCGCTTCACCATCAAGTTTCAGGAGTTTAGCCCCAACTACATGGGCCTGGAGTTCAAGCGGCAGCAGGATTACTTCATCACATGTGAGTCGCCCTCCTCTTCCTCGCCGCTGTCCCCGGCTCGGGGGGACCGCGGGGGCCTGGAGAATGTCGCCAGGCGCTTGTTCGCGACTTGGCCGGTGCAAAGAGCTGACACGTATGGAAAATATTTCCCGCTGGATGGGAGAAGGGGGAGGAATGTGTCACTGGCCGAGCGGGACGCCGGCCTGTATCTGGCTGTGCGCCGCCCTTGTTGTGGCCTGCGTTGCTGTGCCGTGTGCCCCCGGCCGGGAGCAGGAGCGTGTCCCCCAGCCGGGGTCTGGCACGGAGGGGCAGCGCACGTCCGAAGCACCGTCATGCCTGGAGCTTAATTTTGCTGCCATCTTCCTCTTGAGCTGGAGGTGTTGCAGGGCATTTCTTGGAGGGCTTTGCCCTGGGGAGCTCTCGGTGGGGCAGTCGGGATGGCGAGGAACGGTGCCCGAGGAAATGCTCGTCCTCCTCCACCAGCATCGGGAAGCTGCCAGTGGCGCCCAGTGCTTGCTGTGGTCTAAATGGCTGTAAAATTCTGTGTACTGGCTTGTTGACCTTGTTTCTTGGTATCGCATGGTTTTATGGAGGGCAGAGGGAAGGCGGGCTGAATTTTCT